GGGGTCTCGGGGGGGGGCTCGCCGGTCTGGGGGGTGCTGCGTTACTGGCAAGTACTGTGGCTAAGAGGAATTCATGAAGGAGCCATGTTCGTTTCATACGAAAAAAGGTAGGACGGCGAGGGAATTTGTCGGACGCCGCAGGCCGCGGTTGCAACTTGACACTTCGGGGGCAGCATCTGGCAGGCGCCGGAGAGGTCAGGCGCGGGGAGGCCATCAGTGTTGGGTTGCGGTTATTTCGGGATGAGTTGCATGATGCTCTTGAAGATGCCCACACCCTGTTGGACGACGCGTGCCCCTTGTTGGACGTTTTTGAGGACCTGGCCGGCAGTTTTGGCGGCGTCTGCGGCTTGTTTCAGTGCCTGTTCGCTTTGTTTCTGGGCTTCCTTGCGTTTGGCTTCGGCGTCGAGTTGTGCTCGACGGAGCGCGAGGTCTGCTGCTTGTTGTTGTTGGCGTACAGCGACGACGAGGGGGTCCTCTTGCACCACGGACGGGCCGGTGCTAGCGATCGGCTGGATACCGTGGGCCGCCAGACCCTCGGCAGGAGGCGCCTGGATCTGCGCCTTGTAACCCGGAATGTAGCCCGGATACCGCGACTCTGCATACACCGACCAGTCCTGTTGAGCCACATGTCGACCTCCAAAGGTTAGATCGGAACCCAGGGCTGCCTTGGTCATCATCGTCAGTAACAGCACTTTAGCCGTGACTCGTAGCAACGCACGGGGGGGCTGCGTTATTTTCTTCAACCGCCCCACACGTATTCGCCACCACTCATGTGCCCCAAACTGGCGGGGCGCAAACTGGGGGACCGATACTGGCGGGGTGGATCAAGTAACGAGGGGGGGTGGATCAAGTAACGACGCGGATGTGGATCAAGTAGCGAAGCGTGGGTCTGTCGAATAGCGAGGGAGGGAGGGTTCGGCAGTCGTAGCGGGTCCAGAGGCAGTCGCGCGAGATAGTGTTGTAGGAGCTTTTTTAGGCTGAGAATATATTCATGAAGCATGAGAGGGGGAGAGTCTTTACCTGCTAGCCGGCCGCGGCGCAAAAGGCTAGCGGCGCCGGCCGCTTGGTTGAAGGGTAGTCCGCGCGTGCCGCAGATCCCCACACACGCCTCGCGGCGCCCCTTCACGGCCATGTTCCTCGCGAACTCGTACCACCGCATTTCCAAGGTCATTGCAGCCCGTCGCGAGGAAGCTGCTCGGCGCGAGGAGACAGTCCTCGTCCCGCCGCAGGCAGGATCATTGCCCGGCCGATATGTAAAGGACGCAGGCCGACCCCTGGACGCAGTTCGGCCCATGGATGCCGGGCGAGCTATGGACGCAGGACGATCTACGGAGGGAACCCGACTTGCCGACGTAGGTCGATTTACGGGTCGCGTCGAGCTTGATGGTCGCCGGACGCTGCAGCCGCGCGCGGGGCGTCCCCAGTTGATCCGAACGGCGCCGGGCGCTGGTTTGTGTGGGGCCGAGGGGCTGGACCGTGCGGAGAGTCCGTCGGAATATTTTGTGGAAGGGCGCGCGCGCGTGTGCACACGCGTGTGTGCGCGCGCGGGCGGCTTCGAAAGTCAGCCGGGGTACGGCAGTAGTGGGGCGGGGTACGGAAGCAGCGCCTACGGAGGCGATAGCAGTGCCTACGACAGTGATACGAACGGCAGTCGGCAGTCGGCGCGGCCGCCTGAGGCGCTGCTGCGCGAAGCAGAAGGCGCGCTGCCGCGGATCTGCCTCGCGTCCTACGGCAGTTCCTTCGACAGCGCCGGCTTCGGCGGCCGTCGGGTGCGCGAGGAAGAACCGGCGCGGAGCAGCCTGCCGCAGAACGGGCGAGGCGCCGTCACCTTCGACGATAAGCCCACCTACTACGCCCAACAACTCGCCTCCTACGAAGAAGAACCGCCCGCCGTAGGCGCCTTGTCCCCCGCTGTTCATCGCCGCGCTTACTCCAGCCTTGCCACCGCTATGCTCTGCAGCAGCAGCTCCTCCGCGGGCGCGTCCGTCCTGCCTGGCCACGCCCGCTTGCACTCGCGTGACCAATACCAAAACCCGACACCCGTCTACCCAACCAGCCACCGCCACCAATCCAGCCAAGCCTCCAAGACCACATCTCGCGACTACCACAACCAGCCCTACAACAACAACCAGACCTACAACAACAACCAGGCATACAATAACAGTCCCGCTTTCAGCAACGGCCAATCGAACGCGTGCAGCTCTACACTTACTCGCCAGTCGTTCGGCCCGCTTTACCACTCGCGCGACCAGGCATTCTGCCCACGAGGTGTTCGGCTGCACGACCCGCGTCCACCTACTCTTGACCCGTGTCCGCCTACCCTCGACCCTCGGGCGTTGCGGAGCACTGAACTGCGGAGAACTCAACTGCGGAGTACGGAGCTGCAGAGTACGGAAATGCGGAGCACTGATTACGGTCGCGAGAGCCTTCGGCATGAGCAGCTGGCGAGTGACCAGTGTTCGTCGCGTGATCAATCTTTGTGCCAGCCGCTGGTTGGGCGCCAAACGGTGGGAAGTCAGTTCAGTAGCGGCGTGAGTGCTTCCGGAAGCGGTCGGCGGTCGTTCGGCGCTGCCAGTGGTTTGGTCTCATTCGAGGAGGCGAGTCGCGACAGCCGGGAAGAAGATGAGCGCCACTGCTTCCGTTGCGGCTCGGAACTACAGGATTCCAATCTCTTGAGCGAGTCACTCCCTACGCTTCCCATCCGCAGCCACTCCAGTTATTTCGACTCCGAACGCGAACCCCCGAATGCCGGCTGGAGTTTGAAACGCGGCTCCTCGTTACAGGTGAGGCAACGCGAAGAAAACGTCTCCCCCAAGTACCCCGCCGGCTACCCCTCCGGGTACCCGCATTCTGGTTTTGCGGCTGCTGGCTACCCGCCCTCAGGGTATCCGGCCGCTAACTTTTCTAGCACAGGCTTCCTGACTACGGGATCGCCCGCCACCGGGGGATCGCCCGCCACCGGATCGCACCGTAACGGGCCTCAGAGGCTGGCGTCCCAGCGACCGAGCCCGCCGTTGCGACCTGGCCTGGCGGGGACGGTGCGATCGGGACAGTTCTGTGAGGCGCCTGAGCGCAGCAGTTTCTCGCGCAGCAGTCTATCGCGAAGCAGCCTGCCTGCAGCGATGACTGAGGGCGAGTACGCGTTCCCAACGGCGCTGGTGGGGTTGTTATTGATTACGTCGGAGCCCGTCTGGGACCTGCCGCCACATTATCTCGAGCACGCACTCGTGTGTGCGGACACAGGCAATCTGGACATTGAGATCGCGACGGTCGCCGGGGGTTCGACGATTGGCACGACCATGACGCGGCAAGTTTGGCAATACGGCAAGCGACTCTCTGGCGTCTTCAACCACTGCGCCAAGGCACCGCTGGTCCACGAGAAAATCCTGCTACACGATCCCTACAACGCCTTCGCATGTGGCGTCTATCTGGGCACCAACACTCTTCTGGGCACCAACACTCTTTTGGGCACCAGCACTCTGCTCGGCGCGGGGCCCACGAGTCTGAGTCTGTTCGGCGGGAACCACCCGAGTTTGCTGAGCGCGAACCAGCCTAGTCTGCTGGGCGGGAACCCGAGTCTGAGTCTGAGTCTGAGTTTGGGACTGGGGCTGGGCGGTTCTTCGTCGCCGTTGTTATCACCAGAGCGCGCAAGCTGGGGTCGCCGGAGTCGAGATGAGAGCTATCGACGGTCTTCGCGGCAGTCGGTAGGTCCGAGCGAAAGCGCGTTGCCTCCGAAGGAGTTCTACTACGTCGGCGCGACCAAGAGGCGCACAAGGCACGGCTGGGGGCGCGTCATGGACGACCGTCGGCTGCTTTACGAAGGGCAACACGACTGCGGTCTCGTCCGCGGCTTCTACGTCGCATACCACGAATACTTCGTTGAACTCGGTGCACTCCTACCTTGGGGCAAAGTCGGCGTCTACGTACTGGCAGACCGGGAAAGCAGCATCGCCCCCTTTGCCTACGACCTCGACCTCTTCTCTGGCGCCGCCCTCCCGCACTTTGACCAACGCCCGACCGCGACTGCGACCGCGACTTCCGCCTCCCTTCCGCCTGGACCCTGGCTCGCCGCCGGGACGCCGCCGAACCCGCGCTCCCCCGCTGGGACATCCGGAGGCCCCTTCGGGCCCCCCGGCGGGCCGGGGGGTGCGCACACACGTGTGCTCTCGGCGAGTCTGAACCCGAACGCTCTTTCTACGAGTCTGGGTCTCGCAGGAGAGGAGACAGAGCCGTCGTGTTATTGCCGGAGCGAGTGCGACGCGTATGTGGGTTTCGGCGTACTGGCCAACGGCGAGCCGGTGCAGCTTTTCGGCGAGAGCCTGGTTGCGTTGCGGAAGCCGGTTGGTGCGCGTGCGCGTGCGAAGAAGACCGTGCGGGTGCAGTCGAATGAGAGCGCGTCGGCTTGGAGCTATCGGTACCGCCTTGGCAGTCGTTCGCGCCGCGGGACGAAGTCTGGGCTGGAGGGTTGGTCCGGGAAGGCCGAGTACTCCGTCGGTTCCTCCGCCTGCTCCACACTCGACCCCTCGGCCGGCGCCGCCACGCGCAGACCGAGTACCGACACCGCGACGGACCAAGACGTCATCGTGCTGACCTCCGTCCTCGATCCCACAGCGTCCCATCGCGACTCCAGCCGAGATCGTCAATACCCGGAGAAGACGCAGTACTCCAGCGATCAACCGCAGCCTGCGACGCACGAAAACTGTGCGACGAACGAGAGTTGTGCGGCGCACGAAACGTCTGTGGGCCAAGAGACGACCGGCGGCGGCGACGCGGAGTCGTGCTTGCCGGGAGAAGAACGCGCCAACGAAGCAAGGAGCGCCGGCTGTCGCTGCCCGCGACGTCTTCGCCGCAGCAGCTCGTGGCCGCGCTACGGACAACACGGCGACATGCATTGGACGCGGCGCGCCTACCTAGCGGGTCCACTTGCACCACTCACACGGGCGGTGTGGGAGTGTCCCGAACTCACCACGTTTTCCTCCGGCCGTCTACTCGGGGCCGGTCTCGCTCTCGACGGTCCCAGTCTCGGAGCTGGTCCGGCCTTGAACAATCCCAGCTTAGGAGGCTGTCCGGCTCAGGGCCGGGAGTCGGTGCTCCCGACACCTTTGCTGGCCGGGCCCTCTGGACCTGCGTGGTCAGGACCGCCGTCCGGACCGCCGCCACCGTGGTCGGGACCTTCCGGGCCACCGTGGTCGGGAC